GCTTCTACTGTGAATAAGGAAAAAAAATAGGACTGTGGAAAGAAATCATCAAATTTCATTAAGAGTATTGTATTTCGATATCTAAAAGTTAAACTATAACTTATGAATCTGGAGAATATATAAATAACAAGAAGGTAGGATAATGGAAGGTTATATATAATGGTTTAGAGATGTAATCAATATTTATTCATCTGAAGTGGTGGTGGAACATATAATGAGGATAATTAAAGGCATGGAAAATGGGTAAAAGTTAGAGCCTTAATTTAAAGAAATTGGACAATAACATACATTGGCATATATAAAAATGGTAAAAAAGTTGGGGTGTGGGATATTTATTTTAAATTTTAAAAGAGAGATTAATTAATTTAAAATTCTAAAAGTATTTCTAGAGGAGGGGGAGTGTATGATAAAACAGGTTAAGGATGTAAAACAGGGTAATGGATTGATATTGCTGATGGATTTCAATGAGATTCTTATGTAATCCACAATGGTGAATATAAAATTGGCAAAAAAGTTGGCAAATGGGAGACTTTATAAAAAAAATTAGGAAATATACTTTCACTGAAGATGATGTAAAAATATTTAATTATATTATATTTAGAGGTGGAGGAAGTTATGATGAAGGAAATCAAGGATTAAAAATTGATTAATGGATTGACATTGGCCATATATTTTAGAGTGCATAAGTGACTTATAGTGGCGAATATAAATAAGGAAATAAAATTGGAAAATGGGATAGCTGGTGGAAATCAAAATATCAATAGAATCTAAAGATGTAATTAATGATATTCAACAATTTGTAAATAGCGGTGGCGGATATTATGATAAAGGAGGTCAAAGTGATAAAATCGGGTTATGGGTTGACATTAGCGATGAATTTTTTGAAGAATCATAAGTAATTTTTAATGGTGAATATAAAAATGGAAAAAATTGGCAGATGGGGTATTTGGTTAAGAATTTAGCATCGCCTAGGAAGGAATATTGGGAGAAAATAGATGTAAATAATTATTAATAAAATATTTTATTTCTAATCAAGTGGAGGTGGAGCCTATAATGAATTGGGTTAAAAAATTGGTATTTGGATAGAGATTAGTGATGTATTTTATGAATGGCGTTAGTTAACCCATAATGGCGATTATAAAAATGGTAAGAAGGTTGGCTTTTGGGATACTAAATATAGGAAGGGTTTTTGCAATTCTTTTAAATTGGTTTATTAAAAACAAATAAGATTTTATCTACTAATTTAGTGGTGGAGGGTTATATGATGAAGCAGGTCACGGACTTAAATATGGGTATTGGATCGATACAATTGATTACTTTGGATATAATTATGGAGAACCTTTAATAAAATTAAACGGTCAATATTATTATGGCACAAAAGTTGGTATATGGAATACTTGGTATAAATAAGATGAGCAAAATGAAAAGATGAAAATTATTTATATATTTAAACTATCAGAAGTGAAGGATGTTATGATAAAGGAATGAAAATTGGCTAATGGATTGAAATTTGTGATAAATTTCGAAAATGCTAATAAATAACTTTAAACGGTGAATACAACAATGGAAAAAAAGTTGGCGTATGGATGGAAATGTAGAGAGATAAAGATAAAACAGAGGAAGGATTTAAAACAGTTAAAGAAATCTAATATGATAAATGATATAATTATTATTTAATTCACAGATATTTAGTTAGATTAAAGCGAAGTTCTTTTAATTGGATTTGACTTTCAACAAAAGATTAGGTCAACATCTTAAATGTAATTACACCATGAGTCAACACACTCTAGGGATATCTTGTTGATTCAAATAAGAAAATCAAAACGAACAATATGTAATTCATCAATTCTTGTTGAAAGATAAAATTATAAATGAATAAGTGAACCTTATTACTGTTTTCTGCCAAGATTATGCACCATAATCTGAGAGTAAGATTAATTATGGCTCAAATGATTATTCAATAATTATTCAATAATTAATACTTTTGGTGTTAAGTTTATACTACTAATCGCTCCAATTATAAATATTGCAATTTAGGTACACCTATGAGAATGCTTGTGTGGCATAATAAAATGGTGTAAGATATTATTTGAGTGCTATTCTTTTGGAAAATAAATGAGAGGGAGTTACTACTAATTTTTCGACAAACTGATTGTTATCATCGGAATTCTGATTGTATGCTATATATAACTATCTAATACAAACTCCATATTTGCTCGTTTTTATTATTAATGTCAGATTGCGATATTTATAAAAAATTGTTTTTAGAAGGTTTGCTTTGCAAAACAATTATGTTGCCATTAATTATAAACTTAAATCCTTGTTTTAGAACTATGAAAATGTGATATTCAAACCCGCTAGACTGCATATAATGATGGGCGCAGGGATATTATACTTTTGAAAAGGATTTGAAATGCTCAAAGAAAATAGTATTGGTTTTATTATGAAATCTTTCTGTAATAATTATCATAGGGAAAATTTCATTATACTGAATTCTAATAGGGCATAGAAGGCTGTTTTAAATAATTATTCACCGTTATTGTTATTTTGCTTATAGGATGCTCTATATCCGTAAGATTTCTATTGTACTTTCATAAATAAAAATTGTTAAAGTCATAAGTTTTTATTGGTTACTATCACTAAATGATAATAGTGGAAATAATAGTTGATANTGAAGATGATGTAAAAATATTTAATTATATTATATTTAGAGGTGGAGGAAGTTATGATGAAGGAAATCAAGGATTAAAAATTGATTAATGGATTGACATTGGCCATATATTTTAGAGTGCATAAGTGACTTATAGTGGCGAATATAAATAAGGAAATAAAATTGGAAGATGGGATAGCTGGTGGAAATCAAAATATAAATAGAATCTAAAGATGTAATTAATGATATTCAACAATTTGTAAATAGCGGTGGCGGATATTATGATAAAGGAGGTCAAAGTGATAAAATCGGGTTATGGGTTGATGTTAGCGATGAATTTTTTGAAGAATCATAAGTAATTTTTAATGGTGAATATAAAAATGGAAAAAAAATTGGCAGATGGGGTATTTGGTTAAGAATTTAGGATCGTCTAGGAGGGAATATTGGGAGAAAATAGATGTAAATAATTAATAAAAATATTTTATTTCAATCAAGTGGAGGTGGAGCCTATAATGAACTGGGTTAAAAAATTGGTACTTGATAGAGATTAGTGATGTATTTTATGAATGGCGTTAGTTAACCTATAATGGCGATTATAACAATGGTAAGAAGGTTGGCTTTTGGGATACTAGATATAGGAAGGGTTTTTGCAATTCTTTTAAATCGGTGTATTAATAACAAATGATATTTTATCTACTAATTTAGTGGTGGAGGGTTATATGATGAAGCAGGTCACGGACTTAAATATGGGTATTGGATCGATACAATTGATTACTTTGGATATAATTATGGAGAACCTTTAATAACATTAAACGGTCAATATTATTATGGCACAAAAGTTGGTATATGGAATACATGGTATAAATAAGATGAGTAAAATGAAAAAATGTAAATTATTTATATATTTAAACTATCAGAAGTGAAGGATGTTATGATAAAGGGATGAAAATTGGCTAATGGATTGAAATTTGTGATGAATTTCGAAAATGCTAATAAATAACTTTAAACGGTGAATACAACAATGGAAAAAAAGTTGGCGTATGGATGGAAATGTAGAGAGATAAAGATAAAACAGAGGAAGGATTTAAAACAGTTAAAGAAATCTAATATGATAAATGATATAATTATTATTTAATTCACAAATATTTAGTTAGATTAAAGCGAAGTTCTTTTAATTGGATTTGACTTTCAACAAAAGATTAGGTCAACATCTTAAATATAATTACACCATGAGTCAACACACTCTAGGGATATCTTGTTGATTCAAATAAGAAAATCAAAACGAACAATATGTAATTCATCAATTCTTGTTGAAAGATAAAATTATAAATGAATAAGTGAACCTTATTACTGTTTTCTGCCAAGATTATGCACCATAATCTGAGAGTAAGATTAATTATGGCTCAAATGATTATTCAATAATTATTCAATAATTAATACTTTTGGTGTTAAGTTTATACTACTAATCGCTCCAATTATAAATATTGCAATTTAGGTACACCTATGAGAATGATTGTGTGGCATAATAAAATGGTGTAAAATATTATTTGAGTGCTATTCTTTTGGAAAATAAATGAGAGGGAGTTACTACTAATTTTTCAACAAACTGATTGTTATCATCGGAATTCTGATTGTATGCTTTATATAACTTTCTAATGCAAACTCCATAATTGCTCGTTTTTATTAGTAATGTCAGATTGCGATATTTATAAACAAATTGTTTTTAGAAGGTTTGCTTTGCAAAACAATTATGTTGCCATTAACTATAAACTTAAATCCTTGTTTTAGAACTATGAAAATGTGATATTCAAACCCGCTAGACTGCATATAATGATGGGCGCAGGGATATTATACTTTTGAAAAGGATTTGAAATGCTCAAAGAAAATAGTATTGGTATTTTTATGAAAATCTTTCTGTAATAATTATCAAAGGTAAAATTTCATTATACTGAATTCTAATAAGGCATAGAAGGCTGTTTTAAATAATTATTCACCCTTATTGTTATTTTGCTTATAGGATGCTCTATATCTGTAAAATTTCTATTGTACTTTCATAAATAAAAATTGTTAAAGTAATCAGTTTTTATTTGTTACTATCACTAAATGATAATTGTGGAAATAATAATTGATAAATATACAAACACTACTTGTGTGGGCTACTTCCTAAAAGTGAACTAAATTAAGTCATTGGGATAGAACCTATCCAGTTATTATATCAGATGAATACTGTTTTCTCCACACAACTTTTGACTCATATATGGAACTATCCTCAATAATCTATATCAAGGCACCTCTGAAACATGAAAATTATAAACTACCCTCTGTAGTCAGAGTTAGAATTCAAGATTTAGTGACTGAGAGATTTCCAGCTAAAGTAGGCGATTATTAATCGCTTTTTCTTTATTAGATAAAAATTGAAATTAAATCTAACTGCTAGATCCATTCCAAATGAACCTATTACTATGAATAAAATAGAGATCGAATTATTTAATTTTCCTTTTGCTTTATCATATATTATAATAATTTAAAAAGTCCTAAAAATTATGATCAAACCCAAGAGTTTATGTTATCATTATGCTATTATTTAATTTAATTACTGTTTAGTTAAATTTTTTGCAAAATGCAGAACAACATTTGACATAATGTGAAAATAATTTCTATATTTTTTGACAAGAAATAATATTGAACAATTTTTATGATCAATTTACACAACTCAACATTTACTAAAGAAAAAAGATCAATGTTGATATTCAAAATCAAATCATCTTTAAATTTTTATATTAAAATTCAATCATATTCATCAAATATTTAACTAATCATAGATTTGATTTATTTTGCTATCATAGATAAAGAAATAAACAAAATGGTTGATTGGATTAAATTCATTTTTTCTAATGCTTTCGAAAAGCGGTCTGTATAAAACTATTCTTAGATATATAGCGATTGGTTCAAAAATGAAATAAACTAGTAATAAAGCGCTCAAAAGGTTTAAGGCTATTTACACATCAATGAAATTCTAATTCATTTCACTATTATAAGAAAATAATATACATTGAGTTAAACGCCAAAATCATAAGGAAAAAGTACATAACAAGAAGGAAAAGATACAGTAAAATCATCATTATGGCTATTTTGCCTTCAAACATATAAATTGCTTAAGTTATTTTGGAAATTACTCTAAAGACTAAAATAATAAGGAGGCTTATGAACGCATTGATAATTACGATATTAGTAAATAAGATTTCCCAAGTAGAAGATAATATTAAAATACTTATTTCATTACCAATCTGTAAAAATCTAAAGCTTTTCTTCACAGGGTTTTCATCATCTTAAAAAAGTTACAAAATTGAATGGATATACTATTTGAATAACCAAAAAAATTACTTAGAAGTTTGTTTTAAACATGATAAAATGACTTGGATACAATCTTATTTGAAGTATTGAAAGGAATTTAGCAAAAAGAAAAAGGTAAAAATAAAGGGATAAGGAATGATGAGAAAGTGACTTAAGACACCACCAATTCCCATTATAGCCCATAGTATATAGGCTATTTTTGAAACAATACAAAAACTATGCTCATTAAGAACTCACAGTTTCCAGGTCCATAATAAGTGAGTTCCAGAGGGTCAACTCATTCATTAAAGATAAACCTTTGTAATAGCTGCTGCCTCTAATAGCTAACCCCTCTACAAAGTCCGATCAACTTCAGTAGCCCTCCCAATTTGTGACTTAAAGACATCTTTATAGTTTAATATTAATGTCTATCTCAATTTTCCTGATATTTTATTGTACTCATCATATTCCTTGACTAAAAATATACTAATCTATTCAAAATTTTTAAAATATTAGTATTTTTTTAATCTAGTTCTATTTTAACTTAATTGAATATAAATAGTTATTCAAAAATACTCCAACCTTTTAGTATAAGATTAAGTCCTTCTAATAAATAGTAATCTAAAGTTTCAATTCAAAAATTAAAGTTAATATGAATATTACTTAGCTTCTTGAAAGCTAAGATTTCACCGTATTTAAAATATTATTGAAGTTTTATCTTTTATTCCTTTTTAGTGGCATAACTCAGTTTGTCAACTAAAACGTTACGACATATACTCATCACTTTTATCATCTGATCATATGAAGTATTATTTTTAACAACAGATCAAGTATTATTTTAAACCTGATGAATTAAGAAAGCAGAACTTATTCTTCGCTGAAGTGACCATTTATCTAACAAGAATTTCTTTTTAAATTAGGGTTAAGAGTTCAGATAATTTAAGAAATAATTATTCTGGTAATAATCTCAATACAATATTAAAAATTAACCTCCCACTATAGTGATATTTTAAATTCAATTTTAATAAGTAATGACTTTGCCCTATGGTATTTCAACATCGGAATATAATAATAAATTTGAATTCTTTTAGAAATAATAAATACTTTTTCTTTTTTAATTCATTATGAAAGTTTGCACAAATTACCTCATAGGTCATAAGTTATTTCTTTATATCAAAATGCTTTGGTCTGAACTAAGCTTTCAGTTTATATAGAAATCTATTATTTGCTTCTGATTAAATTTTGCGATTAATTATTATATAATTAAAATCTCTATAATTATGTTTGTCACAAGATAATTAATTTAAACACAAAAATTTGAATGGAAGGAAGTTAAAGCAATCATTTGGCGTAATTAATTTCTTAAGGTCGATCGGACTAAAATCTAAGTTGCATAAGATAAGTAGATTATTTATTCCAAAGATGGGGCTATTTTAAAAATGTATATTTGTATATTAATAACTCCAATAGAGAAGAAATTGATCTTATTCCAAAAAAATAAAAAGCACCTATGAATATTCAATAAATTATAAATCTTTAATGGTTAGGTTAATATGGAGAGCAATATCAAAAAATTGGTAGATGGACAGCAATCTGGATGGGAGTAAATGTTGATATTGGAGGCTTCTACTGTGAATAAGGAAAAAAAATAGGACTGTGGAAAGAAATCATCAAATTTCATTAAGAGTATTGTATTTCGATATCTAAAAGTTAAACTATAACTTATGAATCTGGAGAATATATAAATAACAAGAAGGTAGGATAATGGAAGGTTATATATAATGGTTTAGAGATGTAATCAATATTTATTCATCTGAAGTGGTGGTGGAACATATAATGAGGATAATTAAAGGCATGGAAAATGGGTAAAAGTTAGAGCCTTAATTTAAAGAAATTGGACAATAACATACATTGGCATATATAAAAATGGTAAAAAAGTTGGGGTGTGGGATATTTATTTTAAATTTTAAAAGAGAGATTAATTAATGTAAAATTCTAAAAGTATTTCTAGAGGAGGGGGAGTGTATGATAAAACAGGTTAAGGATGTAAAACAGGGTAATGGATTGATATTGCTGATGGATTTCAATGGGATTCTTATGTAATCCACAATGGTGAGTATAAAAATGGCAAAAAAGTTGGCAAATGGGAGACTTTATAAAAAAATTTAGGAAATAAACTTTCATTGAAGATGATGTAAAAATATTTAATTATATTATATTTAGAGGTGGAGGAAGTTATGATGAAGGAAATCAAGGATTAAAAATTGATTAATGGATTGACATTGGCCATATATTTTAGAGTGCATAAGTGACTTATAGTGGCGAATATAAATAAGGAAATAAAATTGGAAGATGGGATAGCTGGTGGAAATCAAAATATAAATAGAATCTAAAGATGTAATTAATGATATTCAACAATTTGTAAATAGCGGTGGCGGATATTATGATAAAGGAGGTCAAAGTGATAAAATCGGGTTATGGGTTGATGTTAGCGATGAATTTTTTGAAGAATCATAAGTAATTTTTAATGGTGAATATAAAAATGGAAAAAAAATTGGCAGATGGGGTATTTGGTTAAGAATTTAGGATCGTCTAGGAGGGAATATTGGGAGAAAATAGATGTAAATAATTAATAAAAATATTTTATTTCAATCAAGTGGAGGTGGAGCCTATAATGAACTGGGTTAAAAAATTGGTACTTGATAGAGATTAGTGATGTATTTTATGAATGGCGTTAGTTAACCTATAATGGCGATTATAACAATGGTAAGAAGGTTGGCTTTTGGGATACTAGATATAGGAAGGGTTTTTGCAATTCTTTTAAATCGGTGTATTAATAACAAATGATATTTTATCTACTAATTTAGTGGTGGAGGGTTATATGATGAAGCAGGTCACGGACTTAAAAATGGGTATTGGATCGATACAATTGATTACTTTGGATATAATTATGGAGAACCTTTAATAACATTAAACGGTCAATATTATTATGGCACAAAAGTTGGTATATGGAATACATGGTATAAATAAGATGAGTAAAATGAAAAAATGTAAATTATTTATATATTTAAACTATCAGAAGTGAAGGATGTTATGATAAAGGGATGAAAATTGGCTAATGGATTGAAATTTGTGATGAATTTCGAAAATGCTAATAAATAACTTTAAACGGTGAATACAACAATGGAAAAAAAGTTGGCGTATGGATGGAAATGTAGAGAGATAAAGATAAAACAGAGGAAGGATTTAAAACAGTTAAAGAAATCTAATATGATAAATGATATAATTATTATTTAATTCACAGATATTTAGTTAGATTAAAGCGAAGTTCTTTTAATTGGATTTGACTTTCAACAAAAGATTAGGTCAACATCTTAAATATAATTACACCATGAGTCAACACACTCTAGGGATATCTTGTTGATTCAAATAAGAAAATCAAAACGAACAATATGTAATTCATCAATTCTTGTTGAAAGATAAAATTATAAATGAATAAGTGAACCTTATTACTGTTTTCTGCCAAGATTATGCACCATAATCTGAGAGTAAGATTAATTATGGCTCAAATGATTATTCAATAATTATTCAATAATTAATACTTTTGGTGTTAAGTTTATACTACTAATCGCTCCAATTATAAATATTGCAATTTAGGTACACCTATGAGAATGCTTGTGTGGCATAATAAAATGGTGTAAGATATTATTTGAGTGCTATTCTTTTGGAAAATAAATGAGAGGGAGTTACTACTAATTTTTCGACAAACTGATTGTTATCATCGGAATTCTGATTGTATGCTATATATAACTATCTAATACAAACTCCATATTTGCTCGTTTTTATTATTAATGTCAGATTGCGATATTTATAAAAAATTGTTTTTAGAAGGTTTGCTTTGCAAAACAATTATGTTGCCATTAATTATAAACTTAAATCCTTGTTTTAGAACTATGAAAATGTGATATTCAAACCCGCTAGACTGCATATAATGATGGGCGCAGGGATATTATACTTTTGAAAAGGATTTGAAATGCTCAAAGAAAATAGTATTGGTTTTNAATATTTATTCATCTGAAGTGGTGGTGGAACATATAATGAGGATAATTAAAGGCATGGAAAATGGGTAAAAGTTAGAGCCTTAATTTAAAGAAATTGGACAATAACATACATTGGCATATATAAAAATGGTAAAAAAGTTGGGGTGTGGGATATTTATTTTAAATTTTAAAAGAGAGATTAATTAATGTAAAATTCTAAAAGTATTTCTAGAGGAGGGGGAGTGTATGATAAAACAGGTTAAGGATGTAAAACAGGGTAATGGATTGATATTGCTGATGGATTTCAATGCAATTCTTATGTAATCCACAATGGTGAGTATAAAAATGGCAAAAAAGTTGGCAAATGGGAGACTTTATAAAAAAATTTAGGAAATAAACTTTCATTGAAGATGATGTAAAAATATTTAATTATATTATATTTAGAGGTGGAGGAAGTTATGATGAAGGAAATCAAGGATTAAAAATTGATTAATGGATTGACATTGGCCATATATTTTAGAGTGCATAAGTGACTTATAGTGGCGAATATAAATAAGGAAATAAAATTGGAAGATGGGATAGCTGGTGGAAATCAAAATATAAATAGAATCTAAAGATGTAATTAATGATATTCAACAATTTGTAAATAGCGGTGGCGGATATTATGATAAAGGAGGTCAAAGTGATAAAATCGGGTTATGGGTTGATGTTAGCGATGAATTTTTTGAAGAATCATAAGTAATTTTTAATGGTGAATATAAAAATGGAAAAAAAATTGGCAGATGGGGTATTTGGTTAAGAATTTAGGATCGTCTAGGAGGGAATATTGGGAGAAAATAGATGTAAATAATTAATAAAAATATTTTATTTCAATCAAGTGGAGGTGGAGCCTATAATGAACTGGGTTAAAAAATTGGTACTTGATAGAGATTAGTGATGTATTTTATGAATGGCGTTAGTTAACCTATAATGGCGATTATAACAATGGTAAGAAGGTTGGCTTTTGGGATACTAGATATAGGAAGGGTTTTTGCAATTCTTTTAAATCGGTGTATTAATAACAAATGATATTTTATCTACTAATTTAGTGGTGGAGGGTTATATGATGAAGCAGGTCACGGACTTAAAAATGGGTATTGGATCGATACAATTGATTACTTTGGATATAATTATGGAGAACCTTTAATAACATTAAACGGTCAATATTATTATGGCACAAAAGTTGGTATATGGAATACATGGTATAAATAAGATGAGTAAAATGAAAAAATGTAAATTATTTATATATTTAAACTATCAGAAGTGAAGGATGTTATGATAAAGGGATGAAAATTGGCTAATGGATTGAAATTTGTGATGAATTTCGAAAATGCTAATAAATAACTTTAAACGGTGAATACAACAATGGAAAAAAAGTTGGCGTATGGATGGAAATGTAGAGAGATAAAGATAAAACAGAGGAAGGATTTAAAACAGTTAAAGAAATCTAATATGATAAATGATATAATTATTATTTAATTCACAGATATTTAGTTAGATTAAAGCGAAGTTCTTTTAATTGGATTTGACTTTCAACAAAAGATTAGGTCAACATCTTAAATATAATTACACCATGAGTCAACACACTCTAGGGATATCTTGTTGATTCAAATAAGAAAATCAAAACGAACAATATGTAATTCATCAATTCTTGTTGAAAGATAAAATTATAAATGAATAAGTGAACCTTATTACTGTTTTCTGCCAAGATTATGCACCATAATCTGAGAGTAAGATTAATTATGGCTCAAATGATTATTCAATAATTATTCAATAATTAATACTTTTGGTGTTAAGTTTATACTACTAATCGCTCCAATTATAAATATTGCAATTTAGGTACACCTATGAGAATGCTTGTGTGGCATAATAAAATGGTGTAAGATATTATTTGAGTGCTATTCTTTTGGAAAATAAATGAGAGGGAGTTACTACTAATTTTTCGACAAACTGATTGTTATCATCGGAATTCTGATTGTATGCTATATATAACTATCTAATACAAACTCCATATTTGCTCGTTTTTATTATTAATGTCAGATTGCGATATTTATAAAAAATTGTTTTTAGAAGGTTTGCTTTGCAAAACAATTATGTTGCCATTAATTATAAACTTAAATCCTTGTTTTAGAACTATGAAAATGTGATATTCAAACCCGCTAGACTGCATATAATGATGGGCGCAGGGATATTATACTTTTGAAAAGGATTTGAAATGCTCAAAGAAAATAGTATTGGTTTTATTATGAAATCTTTCTGTAATAATTATCATAGGGAAAATTTCATTATACTGAATTCTAATAGGGCATAGAAGGCTGTTTTAAATAATTATTCACCGTTATTGTTATTTTGCTTATAGGATGCTCTATATCCGTAAGATTTCTATTGTACTTTCATAAATAAAAATTGTTAAAGTCATAAGTTTTTATTGGTTACTATCACTAAATGATAATAGTGGAAATAATAGTTGATAAATATACAAACACTACTTGTGTGGGCTACTTTCTAAAAGGATGAACTAAATAAAGTGATTGGGATAGAACCTATCCAGTTATTATATCAGATGAATAATGTTTTCTCCACACAACTTTTGACTCATGTATGGAACTATCCTCAATAATCTATATCAAGGCACCTCTGAAACATGAAAATTATAAACTACCCTCTTTAGTCAGAGTTAGAATTCAAGATCTAGTGACTGAGAGATTTTCAGCTAAAGTAGGCGATTATTAATCGCTTTTTCTTTTTTAGATAAAGTTGAAATTATATCTAACTGCTAAATCCTTATCATATATTATAATATTTTAAAACGTCCTAAAAATTACGATCAAACCTAAGAGTTTATGTTATCATTATGCTGTTCAAGGTGTTTATACATCCTATTTTTTAATTTAATCACTGTTTAGTTAAATTTTTTGCAAAATGCAGAACAACATTTGACATAATGTGAAAATAATTTCTATATTTTTTGATAAGAAATATATTGAACTTGATTAAGTATTGAAAAATCTATCAATTTTATGTTTCGCCTTCTAAATTTATATTACCTTTTAGTATTAGTTAAAGTATGAATAAACCATAAATATGAAGGTGATCATGAAATCAATTTTTTTTATGAAATTCTTCATTAATTCATCTAAATTTAATTATCTGTTAAATATAAAATTATAACATCGCTAGAAATATAACTTATGAGAATATATTCTGCTTTACATTTAGAGTATATTAATATACAAATCTATATAATATATTGAATATCCTACAAGATTTAATTTGTTTTTTGCTTAAATTACAGATTTAAAATACTTTGATGCAAATTAAAAATGAAGTGGTTTTTAGCCGAGATTTTGGGATTCTTTAAAAACTAACAATGATATTTGATATTTTTCAGCAATAATCAAATATGACTTCTTCGATTGAAACTTTCGGTAATATTTGAATAAGATTTCGAAAAATAAAGCTTTCTTGAACTTAGCCATGCTAATTCATAGGCATATTTTGAATTTAAATGATAGAAGGTAAGTTAAACCTAAGTTGTTTTTATCTTTAATCATTTTCAATTATCAAAATTACAGTCAAGTATAAATAACAAATAGCAACCATATAATAATAATATTAAAACAAATATCATTTTTTATGTTTTATCAATAATATTAAACACTTTTTATGATCAATTTACACAACTCAACATTTACTAAAGAAAAAAGATCAATGTTTATATTCTAAATCAAATCATCTTTAAATTTTTATATTAAATTCAATCATATTCATCAAATATTTAACTAATCATAGGTTTGATTTATTTTGCTATCATAGATAAAGAAATAAAAAAAATGGTTGATCGGATTAAATTCATTTTTTCTAATGCTTTCAAAAAGCGGTCTATATATAACTATTCTTAGATATATAGCGATTGGTTCAAAAACGAAATAAACTAGTAATAAAGCGCTCAAAAGGTTTAAGGCTATTTACACATCAATGAAATTCTAATTCATTTCACTATTATAAGAAAATAATATACATTGAGTTAAACGCCAAAATCATAAGGAAAAAGTACATAACAGGAAGGAAAAGATACAGTAAAATCATCATTATGGCTATTTTGCCTTCAAACATATAAATTGCTTAAGTTATTTTGGAAATTAATCTAAAGACTAAAATAATAAGGAGGCTTATGAACGAATTGATAATTACGATATTAGTAAATAAGATTTCCCAAGTAGAAGATAATATTAAAATACTTATTTCATTACTAATCTGTAAAAATCTAAAGCTTTTCTTCACAGGGTTTTCATCATCTTAACAAAGTTACAAAATTGAATGGATATACTATTTGAATAACCAAAAAAATTACTTAGAAGTTTGTTTTAAACATGATAAAATGACTTGGATACAATCTTATTTGATGTGCATCCTTAGCTGGCTCTAATGTATTATCCCTATCTTGACCTTGTTCCATACTAATTTCTTTGGATTTGTGATATTCTAGAAACACTAAGGAAAGGTAAACAATAGCAGATGATATAATAAATACACCCTAAACAAGTAGAAAAGATTGCTCATATATGTCAATTTTCTATTACTCTTCTGCCAGCCAATTAACTACTGTATTATTTGATTAATTCATAGAGTTATTGGCAACCTTTATCAAATATAAATTTCCAAAAAATTAACACTTGCAATAGAGCTATGTTGTTTGATTATCAATTTTTTCGATTTCTACATCACATTTCTCAAACTGATCGTTTTCTAAATGATTAATACAAAAATAATTATATTTGAAAATTTCTGAAATCCCATTTGAAATATCACAATTTTGAAATTTAGCCATGTCAATTTTATAATATGTATTTAATTATAGCTGGTTGATTTAAGAACCAGTATAGAGAAAATTAGTTAGGAATGATTTGACAAAATAGTTTTAATCAATCTCAAAATCTGATCTATTTAAGTAAATTTGAAGCATGGATCTGTAAGATTATGATAGATTATAATAATTAAAACTAACTTTTAGTTATGACTTTTGTATGAATGCAATTAAATTATCTAAGTAATCATACTATATTTAAAACTGTGCGTTATATACTGACTTAGTAATTTTTTAAAGTTATAATGACAGTATAGCTCCGTAAAATGATAAAACCTAGCCATTAACTTAAAGATTGTCACTAATTTGAATTGTAATATTTTCAATTAATTAAATTAAGGTTTCAGATATCTTCATTACTTCCTCATAATATTGGGGAGAGGTTTCATTTTAAGAAATAATCAGATATTATTCATCAATTAAGTGTACAGAACCAATTAATATTTAGGTAACCGTTTTAATCATCATAACTAACTGAGAATCAATAATTAGATTGCTTTGGGAGTTTTAATTTTCTAAATTTATCCTCAACTAAATTAAATCAACTATTTATTATTAAACTTTTTGAGAACTTTCTGTTAATGATGAAATATTAATGCTATTTTTCTAGGTAACTTCCTAATTAGTACTAATAAAGAGAGATGTCTCATTATTGTAGCATTAATTTTGATATTTTTATTCTAATAATCTCCTTGTAGAATTTGAATTCGCCTATTTTGTTGATACTTTTTTGTATAGATTNCTTATTTCATTACTAATCTGTAAAAATCTAAAGCTTTTCTTCACAGGGTTTTCATCATCTTAACAAAGTTACAAAATTGAATGGATATACTATTTGAATAACCAAAAAAATTACTTAGAAGTTTGTTTTAAACATGATAAAATGACTTGGATACAATCTTATTTGATGTGCATCCTTAGCTGGCTCTAATGTATTATCCCTATCTTGACCTTGTTCCATACTAATTTCTTTGGATTTGTGATATTCTAGAAACACTAAGGAAAGGTAAACAATAGCAGATGATATAATAAATACACCCTAAACAAGTAGAAAAGATTGCTCATATATGTCAATTTTCTATTACTCTTCTGCCAGCCAATTAACTACTGTATTATTTGATTAATTCATAGAGTTATTGGCAACCTTTATCAAATATAAATTTCCAAAAAATTAACACTTGCAATAGAGCTATGTTGTTTGATTATCAATTTTTTCGATTTCTACATCACATTTCTCAAACTGATCGTTTTCTAAATGATTAATACAAAAATAATTATATTTGAAAATTTCTGAAATCCCATTTGAAATATCACAATTTTGAAATTTAGCCATGTCAATTTTATAATATGTATTTAATTATAGCTGGTTGATTTAAGAACCAGTATAGAGAAAATTAGTTAGGAATGATTTGACAAAATAGTTTTAATCAATCTCAAAATCTGATCTATTTAAGTAAATTTGAAGCATGGATCTGTAAGATTATGATAGATTATAATAATTAAAACTAACTTTTAGTTATGACTTTTGTATGAATGCAATTAAATTATCTAAGTAATCATACTATATTTAAAACTGTGCGTTATATACTGACTTAGTAATTTTTTAAAGTTATAATGACAGTATAGCTCCGTAAAATGATAAAACCTAGCCATTAACTTAAAGATTGTCACTAATTTGAATTGTAATATTTTCAATTAATTAAATTAAGGTTTCAGATATCTTCATTACTTCCTCATAATATTGGGGAGAGGTTTCATTTTAAGAAATAATCAGATATTATTCATCAATTAAGTGTACAGAACCAATTAATATTTAGGTAACCGTTTTAATCATCATAACTAACTGAGAATCAATAATTAGATTGCTTTGGGAGTTTTAATTTTCTAAATTTATCCTCAACTAAATTAAATCAACTATTTATTATTAAACTTTTTGAGAACTTTCTGTTAATGATGAAATATTAATGCTATTTTTCTAGGTAACTTCCTAATTAGTACTAATAAAGAGAGATGTCTCATTATTGTAGCATTAATTTTGATATTTTTATTCTAATAATCTCCTTGTAGAATTTGAATTCGCCTATTTTGTTGATACTTTTTTGTATAGATTAATTGTTTAATAGGCCAACAATTTTTCTGATTAAACATCTGAAGTCACTTGTTATTGAATAGAATTATATATTTCATCTTTTAATTGTGTACAATTCTATTTGTCATTTTGATTTATAAGTATTTCAAAAATCCAAGAAATTTTTTACAAAAATGTCAATTGATCTATATTTAAATTATTACATGTGACTTGCTTTTTAGAGATATTTAGGCTCTTTTGAATATTTGTAATAGATCCTCTTTGATCTATGATCTGAAAAATAATATTGATCTCTGTGCTAGGAAAATATAATACAAAATTATTTGATTATTAAAAGCTGTAATAAAGTAGAGAATTATCTGATGATTTATTCTTAAACTCTTCAAAATCATCGTTATATAGAAACACTTTTATTTAATAATTATATGGTTAATCCTCAGATTATTCACAATTAATTGCCATTTTCAAAGGTTCTAAAGCATATACATTCTCATCCAGAATTTTTAAATTACAGATTGGAGGTTGATTTAAAAATAAAGTTAAGTCTTCCTGATTAGGAATGATATCATTCGTAAACTAAGCTAAAAATTTAAGATTGAATTTGTTTCCTTTATTAAATTATTAATAGTAATCATATAATTAAAAGGAATATTCAAAGTATTGGGGTTAAAGTAGAGAAATTAATTGATAATCATAAATTATTGCAATTGAATATTCTAATAGGTATTACCTCTCCTAAAATGGTATATTAAAAGTAAAATATAAATCTTCATAATTATTAACCGGCCTTACCAAATATCCACTGTTATAATCTATATCCAGGATTTTGAAATCATAATCCAGATATACAATATTGATATCATAAGAGTAGGTCAGCGAGTTTTTGGTGGCAATTACATTCCAAGATTAAATCGTGTAAGGTTGAAAAGTGGCTTTAGGAAATTTCTAACTTGTTTCAGTAGAGTTATATTGTAATTTCCTCTTTTAAGAATCTTTGCATTCTACTTGTGAAGTTAGTTCTAAGCAACTAACTTGTATTTTCAAATCAGGATCTTCATTCCAATCATATTGAACATCAAGATCTTTGCATAGGATGTAAATATTTGTAGCACTTTAATAATTTTGTAGCCTCTTTGTTCCATTAAATTGACAAAGAATTCCCCCTGATAATATGGAAATAGTTGTATTTTGTTCTGAATAATATTAAATTGAAGAATCTGAAACCGTTAATTGAAATGTATATGTTGTGTACGCGGTTAAAGAATAGCGTTCAATGTTAAGTTCTAATAAGTCAGAACTAATTAATTAATCAAATTTGAAATTTGAAGGTCTAGATCTAGAGTCATTTCTGTCAACTTCATAAAAATTGATTTAATATTAAGAATTATTATTTGATACTTGTGAATTTTCCATGCAACTTTTCTTTTTAATAGTGAAAACCATTTTGATAGATTCAAATGGATAATATGATTGTTTGAATTTCTAAAAAATGGTTGGAAATTATCCATTGTGTGTTTAAATTGATATTTCAAAAACACTCTTTTTTGAAACGAAGTTTTCAACCTCCACAAATAAAGAAATATTTGAAGAGAGAGGTAATGTTTTTTCTGGAATGGTTAGGTCTAATTATTGAAAATTTGTTAATTCTTAAACAAAATTATTCAGATCAGCATTTCCACTTTACCCATACACAATAAATGACCATTATATTGAAATAAAACTTCTCAAACCATCGTATAGCTTTGATTCAATTAAAATGATGTTCTCTTCACAAGGATTCAAAAGGTATGTAGGTACATTATATTTGATTAAAGGAGCAAATGGGTTCGAGGGTTATTCAAGTGTATTAAAAATGAAATATTATAGTTTGCCTTTGCAATTATTATGGCCGAAAGAATTTTCCAAAAATTCAATCTAATCTCCCACTGTGATGGTAGGATTGTGCCCGAAATTCAAAATTAACTGTTTTGTATTATTCGGATCAATGTTACATTATGGATTCCTTCCTAATTTCGAAAGAGTTGTCTATTTTAAGATATTAAAACAAGCATTGCTAGTAAGATAACTTGAAAAGAAGTTTGGGTTTATCTGGAAATCAAAAAGGACAAGTATTGATTTCAGATCATCTGATAATTTAATTTTCAGAACAGCTACTTCGCAATCTTTGATATTAAGAATACTATACTTGAACACCAAGGAGTTAATAAAGAACTAACTGAATTTGGAGGAGGATCACAACTCATTTCATCTGATAAAATTCTATTGCCATTGCATGATAAACATTTATCCAAAGTGCAAGTTTTACAAGTGTAACCACATTTCAAGCAATTTAAACTCTAGAAATCATCATAATATCCATCCTAACATCTGCATAATGGAGTTTAAGACCTATCTCCTTTACACGTTAGACAATTGTTTGCTGATTTGCTGCATGTTGAACATTAAAAGTCGCACTCTTAAGATATAGATTCTATATTTACCTAGACATAAAGGCTGGCCACCATCATAGTATCCCTCTTCACAATCACATTTTTCATTTATACGACCTTCTCTGCATGTTATACAATTAGAGGCTTGAGTTTTACAAGTATCGCATTTGATATCGCATGCTTGGTTTATATTAAACAAATACGTTCACAATTCAGTTAATCAGTTTCAAAATAACCATTCATACAGAAACAATTTGGAGGATTTATTTTTAGATTACCCAGGCAACTAAGGCAATTATTGGAATCGTTTTCACAAGTTTTGCATCGGTTATTACATTTCTTACATATTATTTAGATATTGTCATCATAGTATCCATCTTTACAATTACATTAATTTGAAATCGTTAATCTGTTGGAACCATAAACAAATTTGCAGCTTAAACAGTTATCTCTTTCATATGCACATCCAGAACATTTAAGATGGCATTCTATAATAAAAGATGATAAATACTTTAGCAAGTTTCATTAGAATCCTAATAAAAATCAGAAACACACGGACATTTATGAATAATAGATTAATCTAATCTACTTTAATTAACATCACAACTAGTACAATAATCTCTCTAATTTTTACAAGTTTGACAAGAATTCGAGCATTCTAATATAATATCAGATGAATACTTTCACATAATTATTAGCCATTATCAAAATACCCGGGAGAGCAAGTACAAGTGTTTTGATTTAATACACGATGATGATTTGGATAACAAGAGTAACATTTAGTTGAATTAGTTTAGCAAGTTTTACAGATGTCACTACATTTTTAACACATTTCAATTCCAACATCATAGTACCCATCTAAACATGGGCAAGTATTCATTTACAAAAATCTAAAATTTGTTAACTCACAAGTTAGACATTAATTTGATTAAATTTAACATGTTTTACATGAACTGTGGCATTCTATAACATTGATCATTAATAATACATAAACATTATTTTTGATTAGCTTCATAGAAGCCATTTTTGCATACACATTACGATGTGTCATTGTCAAGGTATCTCGTGATTAATTCACAAGTCAAACATTAAGTTTATGTTAAGCATTCAGAACAACTAACATGGCAAGCTTAAATTTAATTTAAACAATACCTTCACATTATTAAGTAATAAGATTAAAGAAGAAACCTGATTTGCAAACACATCTATTTTAATAATTAAGTGTTAAATTTAAGGTTTAATCACATTATGTGCAATACGTAGAAATACCAAAACAAGTTAAACACGTTTAATAGCATTAAATACAAGATTTGTTAACAGTATCTTCGTAATATCCAGCCTTGCAGATACATGTATGTGTTGCATTATCTAGAATTCTATTTTTATCTGATATACAGCTCTAACAAAACGAACCGTTACCAAAACAAGTTTCACAGGTAGAATCACAAGAATAGCACTGATTATCAGCATCCAATAAATATGTCCCGTCAATACATGCGCATTTTGAATTACTTAGAAATTTCATTAGACCGCATGATGTACAATTTGTAGGAGTGTTTGAGCATGTCTGACAATTTTAATCGCATTGTTGACACAATCCATCTATTTCAGTTGTGCCTGCTTAACATTAACAAGTATTAGTATTAGTATTCAATGACCTTAATGTACTTGGATCACATTCTGTGCATTATTTGGAATTAAAAATGCAATTATAACAGTTTGAATTGCATTTACTACAATTGCTTGACCCATTTTCAAAATAACCAGTATTGCATAGACATTGATTTTGATCTAAATGTCTTGTTTCCTTACAAGATGTACAAACAGTTGGAGAATTAATGCAGTTTTAACATTTATAAAAGCATTATTAACAATTTAAAGAGTATCCATCATCGTAATACCCAAGGAGACATTCGCAAACGTTTCCATTTAATACTCTAAAGGATGTTGTTTATGGTTAGCAACTAATGCACGAATCTGCCCCATAAGTATTACAAAGTAAGCAAGAATAATGGCATTATTGACAAACCGGAATTCCTGAATCATAATAATTAGTATCGCAAAGGCACGTAAATAATAAGGAGTCGTAAACTCTATATGTGTTTAACTAGCAAGATTCGCATCTACTAGACATTATCTTACAAGTTGAACAAGAATAATCGCATTCTATAATTATTCTAATATATTACTTTAACAAACAGGATTTACTCCATCATCATAATAAGAATTTGGGCAATCACAAGAAGAGTTTAAAGAATTATATGTTCTTAAGGTTGATTATGGGCAAGATGTACATAGAGTAGGTAATGTTGTACACCCATAACATCGAAAGTTACATTCTTCATAAATTAAAGAATTAATTTTACATTTACAATTAGGAAATCCATTATCATAGTAATTTTCTGTACAAATGCAACTTGAACCAATCAAAATTCTTTATTCTGAGTTCAAACAAGATAAACATTAATTTACTAATGGACCACTGCAAGATAGACAACTATAATGACAATCTAATCATTATTTTCATTGACTTACTTAGACATTTATTTTTTGATTCAACAAAATAGGTAGTGAGAAAACTTCCCTAAAGTTTCGTTTTGCATTAGCAACTGTTTCCAAGTAAATATTTTTCCGGATTGCAAGAAGTACAATTAGTAGGACTAGTAATGCAATCTAAACAATCGGTGCTACAAACTATTATTATGTATATATTATATACTTGAACATTCTTGTATTCCTGTATCATAATATTTACTCATGCAAACACATTCTCCATTAATGTTCAATTCCCTTTTACTGAGAGGATTACAAGCAGTACATTCAGTATTTTTTTATCCTTTACAAGCATAGCAAGTATTATAGCACTCTAAAGTTCAATTTATTCTCATACTTATGCAAATTGGGTTGTCAGGCTAATCATAATAGTAGGCTGGACAAGCACAAGAGTTATTAGTTCCTATTTCACGATATGATTAATCAGGACATGTTGTGCAATGGTCAGCTGCTATATTGCAAGATGAACAACGATATGAACATTCTAAGTTAGATATAAAATTTTTACTTGAACACATAGCATCTGTATTTGAGGCTTCCATTGTATTCTCCTTACAGACACATTTGGTTGCTTTTAGAACTCTATTTTTGGCCGATGAGCAAGAGGTACAGCCATCTTCATCAGCAGAGTAGCATGTGAGACATGTGTAATGGCATTCTAATAGTTAGTATTTAATAATCACATTGACATTATAGTTGGCCTGTGCTGTAATAACCAGGGTAGCAATTACACCTTGATATAATCAATTGTCTGTAAGTAGTATCACAACTTAGACAATTTGTTTCAGAAGAGCCCTTACAAGTTTTGCAAGTCAAATGGCATTGCTAGCATTCTAAAAATAATGGATCACTATAATAGTGTGAATCGTTGCATAGACATTAAAAAGTAGTTCCAACTCTATCAGCATGTCTTGTTGATGGACAGGAAGTGCATTAATCTTAACCATAAACAGTGCAACTAGCACAAGAATGATGACAAGTCACTAAGTTGATAATTAAAATAAAAAGTACAATAGCAATTTGGATCCTTCAAACCAGGGTCATAATAGGCTTAGTTGCAATTACATTTAGAGTCTACTGTCAAATATCTATGGGCAACAATGGAGCAGGAAGTACAATCAGTTTAAAGAGGTCCTTTACAACTCAAACAGGAATAATGACACCCTATAATAATCATTATCATCAGATACTAAAGCAAACATCTGAATTTCCATCTTCTCCATATCCATCTTAGCAAACACATCGGTAATCATTTGATAAAACTCTGCGTTGGCTTGCAATACACATAGTACAATTTTGATTTGAAGAATTATCAAAAGGTATAGAACATTTTTCGCACCTAGGATGACAGGCTAATTAAATAACTATTCTTTACGTTTACAAATGCTATTCCCGTCAGGTTGAATTTACAATAATGTTCTTTCAAAACAAAAACAATTTCCATTTTCAAAATATTTATTATATATTCCAGGATCTCCGCATTCAGTACAATCATTTTCATTAATTCCTTAACAATTATAACAACTATCATAGCATTCTAATTGAAATTGATTCATACTTAAACATATTTGGTCAGAATTGCCAGCTTCAAAATATCCTTATTTACAAATGCATTTAGAACCAACAAGAGTTCTATTTGAAATTGGTTTACAAGATGTACAATCATAATAATCTAGACCACAAGTTTAGCATTACCCATCTGAACATTTACCACATCCACCATCCTTCTCGATATAACCATTTGGATAATCACAAAAACATTTTCCTGGCACAATAGTTGAACTTAGAAATTTTTCCTTCAAATTACAAGTTGTACAGTATTCAGGATCTGTATAAAGACATGTTTAGCATTATGATGAGCAACCAATAAACGGTATGCATCTCTTATCTGCTGTTATTATGTGTGTTCCTTTACAAATTTTGCATTATGTAGAGTTAAAACAAATCAAGCAATTTTCCAAGCCAGGCTGCTCCTTACAGACTAAAAATATTTTAATTGAATTACGAGTGCATTTTTATTGATTTGGATTATAAAAAAATCCAAAGTCACATATTTAACAAATAATCCCATTAGCTAATCCTGTGTTAGGATCATATTTATAATCAAATCTAGTGCAATTTNTGTAAGTAGTATCACAACTTAGACAATTTGTTTCAGAAGAGCCCTTACAAGTTTTGCAAGTCAAATGGCATTGCTAGCATTCTAAAAATAATGGATCACTATAATAGTGTGAATCGTTGCATAGACATTAAAAAGTAGTTCCAACTCTATCAGCATGTCTTGTTGATGGACAGGAAGTGCATTTATCTTAACCATAAACAGTGCAACTAGCACAAGAATGATGACAAGTCACTAAGTTGATAATTAAAATAAAAAGTACAATAGCAATTTGGATCCTTCAAACCAGGGTCATAATAGGCTTAGTTGCAATTACATTTAGAGTCTACTGTCAAATATCTATGGGCAACAATGGAGCAGGAAGTACAATCAGTTTAAAGAGGTCCTTTACAACTCAAACAGGAATAATGACACCCTATAATAATCATTATCATCAGATACTAAAGCAAACATCTGAATTTCCATCTTCTCCATATCCATCTTAGCAAACACATCGGTAATCATTTGATAAAACTCTGCGTTGGCTTGCAATACACATAGTACAATTTTGATTTGAAGAATTATCAAAAGGTATAGAACATTTTTCGCACCTAGGATGACAGGCTAATTAAATAACTATTCTTTACGTTTACAAATGCTATTCCCGTCAGGTTGAATTTACAATAATGTTCTTTCAAAACAAAAACAATTTCCATTTTCAAAATATTTATTATATATTCCAGGATCTCCGCATTCAGTACAATCATTTTCATTAATTCCTTAACAATTATAACAACTATCATAGCATTCTAATTGAAATTGATTCATACTTAAACATATTTGGTCAGAATTGCCAGCTTCAAAATATCCTTATTTACAAATGCATTTAGAACCAACAAGAGTTCTATTTGAAATTGGTTTACAAGATGTACAATCATAATAATCTAGACCACAAGTTTAGCATTACCCATCTGAACATTTACCACATCCACCATCCTTCTCGATATAACCATTTGGATAATCACAAAAACATTTTCCTGGCACAATAGTTGAACTTAGAAATTTTTCCTTCAAATTACAAGTTGTACAGTATTCAGGATCTGTATAAAGACATGTTTAGCATTATGATGAGCAACCAATAAACGGTATGCATCTCTTATCTGCTGTTATTATGTGTGTTCCTTTACAAATTTTGCATTATGTAGAGTTAAAACAAATCAAGCAATTTTCCAAGCCAGGCTGCTCCTTACAGACTAAAAATATTTTAATTGAATTACGAGTGCATTTTTATTGATTTGGATTATAAAAAAATCCAAAGTCACATATTTAACAAATAATCCCATTAGCTAATCCTGTGTTAGGATCATATTTATAATCAAATCTAGTGCAATTTATGTCTCCAAAGCATTAGTTATCTTTTAAAAAATAATGAAATTCGCATTCAGAGCAAATTCCCATCGTGCAAACAGTGCATCTATTAGGACAAGCTTGATTTGTTTATTATTTATACCTACACATTAATTACCAACCATTTCATAACCTTTTTTACACCCTTCGAATGCGTATACATTATTAGTTAAAGAACAAGATAAATGTCCTGTTTGACAGGCTATTACATTTCTAATTTATTTACCTAAACTACAATATAAATCAGTGTCACTTTATGGAGAGTAGCCTTCCTTGCACGTTTAGCAATAATTGGATGTACAACTTGCACAGTTGTCTCCACAATCTAAATATTTATTTAAATTACTAATAAGATTTTGACAATATTATCCTGTCCTATATTCATAGCAAAATTAGCACTTAACAATATCACCAGACTTTTAGGCTATTATGCAATCTTGAAGAACAAATTAACACGAAAGTTCTAAATCGGTGTTTTCAGAATATTCATATATTACAGCCTTGTGCTAACAAAATAACACTTTTTCAAAGAATTGCAATGGCCACACAACGTATTGTCTAACTCTCGGATGGCATAGCATTTCATTGCCATTCGAGATGATCATTTTAGGTTCTGTGACATATTAACAATCAGAATGAAAGTCTAAATCAATATTATAAACATACGAACGCAAGGATGAGGATGCATCCCAGGAGCATGAGCATGTCCTCCTTTGCACTCAAACTAAAAACCATCCTGATCAAAACCGGCCTCACCATACCAAATATATTGACTTCTAAATGGATTCACAAGTTGCACCATCAAGAACAATAACTTAATCTCCGTTTTTATCATATCAAAATATATATTATTATTTAAGTATTTTCATTAATTTTTTTGGATAATTACTAAAACTTCTAACTTCAAAAGGCTTAAAACATCAAAAGATATTTTATATTTATATAACCTTCAAGGTTTTTTTTTAAATATTCATATTTTTTGACTTCATAAAAGAAAAGAAGAAAAATTCTAAAATCACTTTAAAACGATATTACAATATTTTTAACTAATTAATTAACGAATAAGCATAACTGAAAATATCTAACAAAAATCGTCTATGCCATTCTGAATTTCCTATATATACCCTCCTCAGTATTTTCAAACTGATCAAGCTGAAATTGAAGAAAAAAGTAAATTAATCAAATATTTCAAAATTTACTTTTAAAGTAAATTCTCCTAAAGAAATTTTCCTATAAAAAGTTAGTTGTTTTTCTTCAATTGGACACTTATGAGAACAATATTGACTCTATTTTTTTAAATTTTCTAATGATGATTTTTTGAAATCATTATGAAAAACTAAAAGTATTGAGAATAATGAGATTTGAATAACACCACAATTAAAAATAGAATCTTTAAATAGCAGATCAATAAGAGGAAATAATTTTATTTTAATGGAAAGACAAATTAATGAAATAATTAACTTTCTTTATTATTCAAGTCAATTATCACAAAATAGCAATAATAGTTAAATAGATCTGAAAAATTAAATTTCTATACTTAAAGAAACTCTCATAATGAATTTTTAATTTTTTCTTAAAACAATATTTCTGGATTTATTAAAATTTAGTTTTATAACTTTTCTTACTTTCTTCTTTTCTTGTGATTTTAGTGCCCGTTGCGTTAATTCCTTTTTATTTGCAGGAAGGATATCAAAAACATATCCGAATAAGATTTTGATAAGTTTAAAAAAATCATTGCAGTCTGAGAATAAATTTTAATTATTAATTATCTCAAATTAATTTATCCGTTGTTTTTTAAATTTAAAAAATATTTTATTGTATTAAGATTTTTCTCTTTTCATTATTACATCTTTTAATTCCTAATAGATTTTTATTTCCTATTTAAAATATTGAGGATGATCATATTAAACTATTTTAAAATTTAGAAAAAATTTCCACCAATAAATACAAACAACAATTAACAAGTCTTTTCTATTATTATAATCCAAACAATTTAATACTATAATAATTCTTTAAGAATGATAAAATTATTTAAAAGAACAAGGAAACTTAAGAAAAACTTGAAAAACTCTGATCACCCTGAACAGTATAAAGTATTTAGAATAAGAGATTTCAAAATTTTGAATACCAAAGGCTTTTATTTATGACAAAAACAGTTATTTTGAATCCTTGACAAAATAATGATGGTCGATGAAATTAAACTATATTACCCAAACTTTGAGAAAAATTTTATCTATTCATAAGTGAATTGTTTTTGTTTTAATAATTTTATTTATAATTAGAAATCATGACTAGATGATTCGTCAAATGCACAGAAATGTTAAGCAATATAATTAACAAATTACATTAATTATTAATTTGGAAAGTTTTGGAGAGCATTAATTCTTAAATTTTATATACGAGAGATTTAACGAAGATAGGCAAGAAATACTTTATGAATTGCCTTTATCAACAATTAAAAAGAGAATAGTTCTCCTATTACGTATTATTTTACTGAAACATTATAATTAATGAATATCATGATATGAAGCCTTTAAGACTGAATCAATTTAGATAAGAGATATAGTAAATACCCATTTAATTGATAAGCTCGCAATATTCATAATCTTAACCTTAATAAATAGTAAGATGCATGCATAAGAATGTTTACTGCACTTAAGACATAATGCTTGAAGAATTAAGAAATCCTTAGTGTGGAAAAGGCTTCTATTTTTAGCTTTAATTAAATGATGAACATCTCACATTATTTATATTGAATTCTAAAAGTCCAACCTACAACTTTTTTTGGCAATATCATTCGAAAAAAATCAATAGCAATTTTGTATCTTATCCTCATATACTATAATAGTAGCAATAATTAGTATTATATTTCTAGCTTCTCATTAATGTGGAATGAGCATAATTTTAGTTTGTTAAATGTTTCAACAGCCTTTCAATAAAGAAGTAATTAAATGGAAATGAAATATATAAAGCATTAATTAAATACTCGAAGCTATAGAATAATTATAGAATCCAAGTGGCAGTAAACAAAGAATATTATTGCTATTTTCGTTAAAGTGGCAAGGATTGGGTATATTTTATTGATGCAAAAATGAATTTATTTTATTAAACTAATTGTTTTCTAAAAAGTTGTAAATTTTTTACTATCAAGAGAGTATCCATATAATTTAAGAGTTGATTAAATTAAGCTCGAATTTCGAAATATATTATGAGTGTAATCCTTTCTGATAATAAAATTTAATCAACAAATATTAAATTTCAATGGAGTTAACAAGGTAGACATTTCGATGTCTCAAAACTTCTATTAGATGTTATTTTTCATTATCTCTCTAACATTTACAACAATTTGTAATAATATTATTATTCAAAAGAAAAAATAATTTTCTGCAAATCTAATTCCTATTTTTGAGAATTAATTTAAATCGAAAGCTGAAAATTCTACTAATTGTTTCATAACATCATCATAAAACATATTTCTCATATTTGCAGTTATTGAGATAGATATTGTTTGTCATAATCAAATTATTTTATTATAATAAATGTAAAAGCATGATTATACAAATTTTTTATAAGGTCGTTGAATTAATACCTCTAGAGTTTTAAGAGTCATTAAATAAACCCTAAGTAATTTTAATACATCCTATTTATGGAGGAAAGTTCATACTCTATTTAATTTATTGAATTAAATTACTACACATGTCAATCAGCTAATTTAGTAATACTTTACCGTACATCCGAGTTACTCAAACTCAAATTATATTATAATTTTTGAATACATCCGATTGAATAGAAATTAAATTAAATCACGCCATAATATATATCATATTTATATTAAAAATTTAGATAAATAAAATATGTTTATTGTTTTTGCAGCAGCATTCTAATTATCTACAAGAATCACTTAGGATTTTAAAATGCCAATATTACATTCAGATCAAGTTAATCCCTGGTTTTTAGATGATCAAAACCAAAATGAAGCTTTTATTGATTGGGAAGGAAATCAAGTGCGATAATTTCACACATTTAATGAAAGTAAAAAAATCTTGTATTTTATATAGATCAATTTCCAATTAATGTAACACTGAGAATTTCAACATAATCTGAATTTTACCCTTTTATTTAGGAAAGTCTTCAGCTAAGATTTCCAGAAGTAGATGAAATTACATTTACTTTATTACCAAAATAATCTTATTAATTAGCAATTGAATATAATTGCACTCAACATAATGAAGGAATCCAATAAATTGATTTAATTTTTATGGAATAAACATTTAAGAATAATCCTTAATATTTAGATGAGTTAAATTAGATTAGTGTTAGGTATTATAAATATTGCTAAAACCCTCACACAGCCCTAATTGATTTTAAGAATATACTCGTAGTAATTTTGATATATATTACTACGACTTGTAGCTCACTTTTTTGTATTAGAAAAGTTTTTACATAATTTGAATTTACTCCAACTAAGTAATTATTGACACTTTTATTGTTTCCTGCTATTGGATCATTATTAGATTATCCAAAAATAATATCATTTTTTCTCGCTTTTATAGTGCTATGCGATTTCATTTATTATGCCTCAAAATCATCAATTATTAGCATAATAGTATCCTTCATTATCTTATATTTTCAACACTATATTTTTGAGTCTGCTCAAATTGAATAAGTTTTCTTTTATGATGTATTTCGTCAAATACTTCCGTGTATTATTACAATTATATTGCTTATTTAAGTTAATCGAGTAATTATAGAATTAAATTTAGCGCATAATCATTGCCAATAAATTTTAACTATTTTTATTTTTTTGCATTATTTGGCTAACTGAAATTTATTCTCTGGTTCATAGAACACAAGTTGATAAACATTTACTAATTCAGAATCCCTAAGAGATGTCTGGTTTTATAAAAACAAAGTTTTCATTTTTAATTGCAAACGAACATACCTTATGGCAATAAAAGTAATAATTTGAAACTAGTTAGAAATATTGATATCCATTTATATTAAATAATCGGGTTATCTTTAATACAATCTTTCATTTTTCGACATGGACTATTCAATAAAGAACATATTGTAAATATTATCATTGTTGGTATAACCTAATTTACTGGATTGATATTGTTTGATCTGCTGTATCGCTATAAGCACAATCCTCCGTTCTTAACACTGATTACTGGATTTATTTTGCTTGGAATGATGTTAAACTATTTAAGAACTGGTTCAGGATTGAGAAATCCTTATCTTGAATTTGAGTCAATAGAAGAGAAAATTAAGATATGAGTTTAATTATCTGAAAAAAAAAATTATAATATTAATAATAATAATATTTGATGTGAATAATNAAGCTTTTATTGATTGGGAAGGAAATCAAGTGCGATAATTTCACACATTTAATGAAAGTAAAAAAATCTTGTATTTTATATAGATCAATTTCCAATTAATGTAACACTGAGAATTTCAACATAATCTGAATTTTACCCTTTTATTTAGGAAAGTCTTCAGCTAAGATTTCCAGAAGTAGATGAAATTACATTTACTTTATTACCAAAATAATCTTATTAATTAGCAATTGAATATAATTGCACTCAACATAATGAAGGAATCCAATAAATTGATTTAATTTTTATGGAATAAACATTTAAGAATAATCCTTAATATTTAGATGAGTTAAATTAGATTAGTGTTAGGTATTATAAATATTGCTAAAACCCTCACACAGCCCTAATTGATTTTAAGAATATACTCGTAGTAATTTTGATATATATTACTACGACTTGTAGCTCACTTTTTTGTATTAGAAAAGTTTTTACATAATTTGAATTTACTCCAACTAAGTAATTATTGACACTTTTATTGTTTCCTGCTATTGGATCATTATTAGATTATCCAAAAATAATATCATTTTTTCTCGCTTTTATAGTGCTATGCGATTTCATTTATTATGCCTCAAAATCATCAATTATTAGCATAATAGTATCCTTCATTATCTTATATTTTCAACACTATATTTTTGAGTCTGCTCAAATTGAATAAGTTTTCTTTTATGATGTATTTCGTCAAATACTTCCGTGTATTATTACAATTATATTGCTTATTTAAGTTAATCGAGTAATTATAGAATTAAATTTAGCGCATAATCATTGCCAATAAATTTTAACTATTTTTATTTTTTTGCATTATTTGGCTAACTGAAATTTATTCTCTGGTTCATAGAACACAAGTTGATAAACATTTACTAATTCAGAATCCCTAAGAGATGTCTGGTTTTATAAAAACAAAGTTTTCATTTTTAATTGCAAACGAACATACCTTATGGCAATAAAAGTAATAATTTGAAACTAGTTAGAAATATTGATATCCATTTATATTAAATAATCGGGTTATCTTTAATACAATCTTTCATTTTTCGACATGGACTATTCAATAAAGAACATATTGTAAATATTATCATTGTTGGTATAACCTAATTTACTGGATTGATATTGTTTGATCTGCTGTATCGCTATAAGCACAATCCTCCGTTCTTAACACTGATTACTGGATTTATTTTGCTTGGAATGATGTTAAACTATTTAAGAACTGGTTCAGGATTGAGAAATCCTTATCTTGAATTTGAGTCAATAGAAGAGAAAATTAAGATATGAGTTTAATTATCTGAAAAAAAAAATTATAATATTAATAATAATAATATTTGATGTGAATAATTTTTCACTATGAACGGCTCCTTGGTAGAACAAGGTTCATACTAATTTAACAGAAGTGCTTGACCTTCTTAGTGCGATTGAAGAGTCCGCAACATAAAGGGCATAACACTCTCTCATCAAAGAATAATCTCGCTAAGCCCTCATGTTTAATAACTAGTTAACAATGGATACAATTTTTTTTATCTATTCTAGCGGGTCAGATAATAACTCAAATAATCCCTAGCTGCATTTTTCATCTGTATATATCTAATAACCACCACTTTGATTTATTATTAACAGATTCGACACAAATACCTCAATATTTGAAGTGTCATAAGCTACACCTTCTATTTCCGTGGGTTTGGGTTTTGGGGTTGGGGTTGGGGTTTGTCTCCAAAGCATTAGTTATCTTTTAAAAAATAATGAAATTCGCATTCAGAGCAAATTCCCATCGTGCAAACAGTGCATCTATTAGGACAAGCTTGAATTTTTTATTATTTATACCTACACATTAATTACCAACCATTTCATAACCTTTTTTACACCCTTCGAATGCGTATACATTATTAGTTAAAGAACAAGTTAAATGTCCTGTTTGACAGGCTATTACATTTCTAATTTATTTACCTAAACTACAATATAAATCAGTGTCACTTTATGGAGAGTAGCCTTCCTTGCACGTTTAGCAATAATTCGATGTACAACTTGCACAGTTGTTTCCACAATCTAAATATTTATTTAAATTACTAATAAGATCTTGACAATATTATCCTTTCCTGTATTAATAGCAAAATTGACACTTAATAATATCACCAGACTTTTAGGCTATTATGCAATCTTGAAGAACAAATTAACACGAAAGTACCAAATCGGTGTTTTCAGAATATTCATATATTCCAGCCTAGTGCTAGCAAAATAACACTTTTTCATAGTATTGAAATGGCCACATAATGTATTGTTTAACTCTCGGATGGCATAACATTTCATTGCCATTCGAGATGATCATTTTAGTTTCTGTGACATATTAACAATCAGAATGAAAGTCTAAATCAATATTATAAATATACAAACGCAAGGATGAGGATGCATCCCAGGAGCATGATAATGTCCTCCTTTGCAATCAAACTAAAAACCGTCCTGATCAAAACTGGCATCATCTGGCGAACCATATTGACTTCTAAATGCATTCACAAGTTGCAACACCAAGAACAATAACTTAATCTCCGTTTTTATCATATCAAAATATATATTATTATTTAAGTATTTTACATTAATTTTTTTGGATAATTACTAAAACTTCTAACTTCAAAAGCCTTAAAACATCAAAAGATATTTTAAATTTATATAACCTTCAAGGTTGTTTTTTAAATATTCATATTTTTTGACTTCTTAAAAGAAAAGAAGAAAATTCTAAAATCACTTTAAAACGATATCACAATATTTTTAATTAATTAATTAAAGAATAAGCATAACTGAAAATATTTAACAAAATCCTCTAAGCCATTCTGAATTTCCTATCTATACCCTCCTCAGTATTTTCAAACTGATCAAGCTGAAATTGAAGAAAAAAGTAAATTGATCAAATGTTTTCAAAATTTACTTTTAAAGAAATTCTCCTAAAGAAATTTTCATATAAAAAGTTAGTTGTTTTTCTTCAATTGGACACTTATGACAAAATGTTGACTCTATTTTTTTAAATTTCTAATATGACTTTTTGAGATCATTATGAAAACTAAAAGTATTGAGAAAATTAGGATGAGATTTGAATAATATAACAATAAAAATAGAATCTTTAAAAGGCAGATCAATAAGAGGTAATAATTTTATTATAACAAATTAATTAAATAATTAACTTTCTTTATTATTAAAGTCAATTATCACATAATAGTAATAATAGTTAAATAGATCTGAAAAATTAAATTTCTATACTTAAAGAAAACTCTCATTATGAAGTTTTTAATATGTCTTAACAAAATATTTCTGGATTTATTAAAATTTAGTTTTTATTCCTTTTCTTGCTTTCTTCTTTTCTTATGAATTTAGTGCTCGTTGCTTTAAATCCTTCTTTATTTGCAGGAAGGATAAAAAATAACATATCCGAATAAGATTTGATAAGAGTAACAAAATCATTGCAGTCTGAGAATAAATTTTTAATTATTAATTATCTCAAATTAATTTATCCGTTATTTTTTAAATTTAAAAAATAATTTATTATATTAAGCCTTTTCTCTTTTCTATTGAATGCGTATTACTCTTAATCTCATTATTATACCATTTAATTCCTAATAGATGTTTTATTTCATATTTTAAATTATTGAGGATGATCATATTAAACTATATAAAAATTTAGAAAAAATTTCAACAAGTTTTTTTATAATTATAATCCAATCGAATTAATACTATAATAACCCAAACTTTTGAGAAAATTTTATCCATTCATAAGTGAATTGCTTTTTTTTAATAATTTATTTATAATTAGAAAGCATGATTAGATGATTCACCAAATGCACAGAAATACTAAACAATATAATTAACAAACTACATTAATTTGGAAAGTTTGGAGAGAATTAGTTCTTAAATTTCATACAAAAGAGATTTAACTACAATAGGCAAGAAATACTTTATGAATTGCCTTAATCAACAATTAAAAAGAGAATAGTTTTCTTATTACGTATTATTTTACTGAAACATAATAATTAACGAATATCATGATATGAATTCTGGATGACTGAATCAATTTAGATAAGTAAGGTAGTAAATACCCATTTAATTGATAAACTCGCAATATTCATTATCTTAACCTTAATAAATAGTAAGATCCATAGGAATGTTTACTGCACTTAAGACATAATGCTAGAAGAATTAAGAAATCCTTAGTGTGGAAAATGCTTCTATTTTTAGCTTTAATTAAATGATGAACATCGCACATTAGTGATATTGAATTCTAAAAGTCCAAACTACAACCTTTTTTTGGTAATATCATTCAAAAAAATCAATAGCAATTTTGTATCTTATCTTAACATACTATAATAGTAACAATAATTAGTAATATATTTCTAGCTTCTCATTATTGTGGAATGAGCAAAATTTTAGTTTGTTAAATGTTTCAACAGCCTTTCAATAAAGAAGTAATTAAATGGAAATTAAATATATAAAGCACTAATTAAATACTCGAAGTAATAGAATAATTATGGAATCCAAGTGGCAGTAAACAAAGAATATTATTGCTATTTTCGTTAATGTGGCAAGGATTGGGTGTATTTTAAGGATGCAAAAATTAATTTATTTTATTCAACTAATTGTTTTCTAAAAAGTTGTAAATTTTTACTATCAAGAGAGTATCCATATAATTTAAGAGTTGATTAAATTAGGCTCGAATTTCGAAATATATTATGAGTGTAATCCTTTATGATTATAAAATTTAATCAACAAATATTAAACTTCAATGGATTTAGCAAGGTGGACATTTCCATGTCTCAAAACTTTTTATTAGATGTTATTTTTCATTATCTCTCTAACGTTTACAACAATTTGTAATAATATTATTATTCAAATGAAACAATAATTTTTCTGCAAATCTAATTCTTATTTTTGAGAATTAATTTAAATCGAAAGCTGAAAATTCTACTAATTGTTACATAACAGCATCTTAAAGCATATTTCCCCTATTTGCAGTTATTTAGATAGATATTGTTTTCCATTATCAAATTATTTTATTAAAATAAATGTAAAAGCATGATTATACAAATTTTTTATAAAGGTCTATGAATTAATACCTCTAGAGTTTTAAGAGTCATTATAAATAAACCCTAAGTAATTTTAATACATCCTATTTATGGAGGAAAGTTCATACTCTATTTAATTTATTGAATTAAATTACTACACATTTCAATCAGCTAATTTAGTAATACTTTACCATACATACGAGTTACTCAAACTCAAATTATATTATAATTTTTGAATACATATGATTGAATAGAAATTAAATTAAATCACGCCATAATATATATCATATTTATATTAAAAATTTAGATAAATAAAATATGTTTATTGTTTTTGCAGCAGCATTCTAATTATCTACAAGAATCACTTAGGATTTGAAAATGCCAATATTACATTCAGATCAAGTTAATCCCTGGTTTTTAGATGACCAAAACCAAAATGAAGCTTTTATTGATTGGGAAGGAAATCAAGTGCGATAATTTCACACATTTAATGAAAGTAAAAAAATCTTGTATTTTAAATAGATCAATTTCCAATTAATGTAACACTGAGAATTTCAACATAATCTGAATTTTACCCTTTTATTTAGGAAAGTCTTCAGCTAAGATTTCCAGAAGTAGATGAAATTACATTTACTTTATTACCAAAGTAATCTTATTAATTAGCAATTGAATATAATTGCACTCAACATAATGAAGGAATCCAATAAATTGATTTAATTTTTATGGAATAAACATTTAAGAATAATCCTTAATATTTAGATGAGTTAAATTAGATTAGTGTTAGGTATTATAAATATTGCTAAAACCCTCACACAGCCCTAATTGATTTTAAGAATATACTCGTAGTAATTTTGATATATATTACTACGACTTGTAGCTCACTTTTTTGTATTAGAAAAGTTTTTACATAATTTGAATTTACTCCAACTAAGTAATTATTGACACTTTTATTGTTTCCTGCTATTGGATCATTATTAGATTATCCAAAAATAATATCATTTTTTCTCGCTTTTATAGTGCTATGCGATTTCATTTATTATGCCTCAAAATCATCAATTATTAGCATAATAGTATCCTTCATTATCTTATATTTTCAACACTATATTTTTGAGTCTGCTCAAATTGAATAAGTTTTCTTTTATGATGTATTTCGTCAAATACTTCCGTGTATTATTACAATTATATTGCTTATTTAAGTTAATCGAGTAATTATAGAATTAAATTTAGCGCATAATCATTGCCAATAAATTTTAACTATTTTTATTTTTTTGCATTATTTGGCTAACTGAAATTTATTCTCTGGTTCATAGAACACAAGTTGATAAACATTTACTAATTCAGAATCCCTAAGAGATGTCTGGTTTTATAAAAACAAAGTTTTCATTTTTAATTGCAAACGAACATACCTTATGGCAATAAAAGTAATAATTTGAAACTAGTTAGAAATATTGATATCCATTTATATTAAATAATCGGGTTATCTTTAATACAATCTTTCATTTTTCGACATGGACTATTCAATAAAGAACATATTGTAAATATTATCATTGTTGGTATAACCTAATTTACTGGATTGATATTGTTTGATCTGCTGTATCGCTATAAGCACAATCCTCCGTTCTTAACACTGATTACTGGATTTATTTTGCTTGGAATGATGTTAAACTATTTAAGAACTGGTTCAGGATTGAGAAATCCTTATCTTGAATTTGAGTCAATAGAAGAGAAAATTAAGATATGAGTTTAATTATCTGAAAAAAAAAATTATAATATTAATAATAATAATATTTGATGTGAATAATTTTTCACTATGAACGGCTCCTTGGTAGAACAAGGTTCATACTAATTTAACAGAAGTGCTTGACCTTCTTAGTGCGATTGAAGAGTCCGCAACATAAAGGGCATAACACTCTCTCATCAAAGAATAATCTCGCTAAGCCCTCATGTTTAATAACTAGTTAACAATGGATACAATTTTTTTTATCTATTCTAGCGGGTCAGATAATAACTCAAA